TACTGCATACTTTTCGAATGGTATAATTGACTGTGTGCGGCGTAGTAATGTTTCTTGGCAGTGAGTGTACGACATTGCTTCAGCATTTGGTAAAGACACCTGGATTCACACCCTACTCCTCACCCAATCCTGCCTAGCCAGAAAGACTGGTGAATCCAGTCTGAAACTGGTCGACATGCTCAGCCTTTAACATTCCTGAGTAAAGCAGGAACACTTTCTCTCTGCTTCAGCAGGTAAAACAGCTGGGCCTTACATATTGTCCAATAACTGCACTGCTTATTGAAATCCTCTGATTAACCACGCCCAAGAAATATGTCGTTGACAGAAACAGATCGCAGCCCTAGAAAAATGCCTGGGAGGGATAAGTTGAAACTTACATCTAAAAATACATCTCTTCTACCAAGCATAATAAATAGGCAGTTCCTCATACCCAGGGGTGGGATTGAAAATTTTTAGCAACCGGTTCTCTGACTGGTTGCTGGGGGGGCGTGGCCATGGTGGGCATGGCCTATTTGGCCTCCTGCACCATGGTTGGGGGGGGGGGGCCCGTTTTTGCCCTCCCCAGGCTCCGGAGGCTTTCCTCAAGCCTCCAGGAGGGCAAAAACGGCCTCCCCCCGGACTCCGGAGGCCCTCCAGAGGCTGGAAATGGGTGCGTTTCCGGACTTCTGGAACGCCCGTTTTTCGCCCTCCCAGAGCCTCCATGCGGGCCCTGCACTTACCTGGCATCCAAAATGGGCTGCGTGGAGACTCCTGGGAGGGGTGGAGCAGGGTCAGCCAGTCCTTTCAACTACCAGTTCGACAAACCAGATGTAAAATTAGCATCCAGTTTGCCCGAACTGTTCCAAACCAGCTGAATCCCACCCCTGCTCATACCCAATCAAGGAGGAAACAAGCTCATCTCAAATAATTTAGTATTTTCAGGCTTTATGTTCATAATACACTTTTGTGTTCTGTGGCGCCCACTATACAAATTCAAAAGATACATCCTTACTGTGAGATGGACCTTGTCAAGAATATTAACAAGGATTTTGCAAACAAGTAAGTGGCTCTCATATTGTGCTAAGTGTACACGGTCAGTCAAGACCATCTTACAACTTTTATTATAGAAACTTGTCTGACTGAACTGCCTAGATTCTAGAACAGTGATGGTGAACCTTTTTTGGCTCATGTGCCAAAAGCGACGGGAGCGCAGGGAGTCGTGCACGGGCGTGCCACACCCATAATGCTATGTGCATGCTTCCCCTCAACCTGCAAGCCTCCTGAAAGCTCCGGAGGGCAAAAAACGGCCCTACGAGCAGACCCGAAGTCTGTTCCCAAACTTCCGGTTTGCCCATAGGGCCGGGTTTTTGCACTCCGGAGGGCGAAAAAAGGCCTCAAAGGAAGGCCGAAATCATCTGGCCAGCGTGCGCATGTGCGCTGGAGCTGACAGGGCAACGCCTCGCATGCCCTAACAAATGGCTCCGCTTGCCACCTGTGGCACGTGTGCCATAGGTTCACCATCACGGTTCTAGAAAATATATGCTCATTCCTTCTTACCTCAAGAATCTTATTGTTTCTCTGCTTAAGCAGAATCATAGTAAATAAAAAGCATTAACCTTTGGTCACATAACTAAAGATATAGAATAAATGTCCATGTTTTCTTTTTATATATTCCCTTGATCCTCTGGGTATAAAAAAAACAATTTCAGATTTCTGAATTTCACCAATCACAGCTGGGAATTTCCTTTTGCCTTGCTCTTACAGTTTTCACTGACATTCTTTTTGAGGCGTATAGGTATACCCCTACTTATAAACAATCCAGTTTCATCTAGTATCTCTTACTAACAATTGAGATCATCGTAAGTTTCCTTTAATTAGAAGATCCATGGTAGCAAAATATGACATTAAAATTACTTGCTATTAAGAAAAACAAAATCTTCATTTCTAAAATGACCCACCCTCGCAAATATAATTCTGCAAAATCTTTTATAATTATTAGTTATCTGCACAGCTCCACAAAAACAGGTGGATTCCCAGTTTACTCTCTTTCTTTCCTATATCATATCTCAGCCCAAAGACAACGGCAAGTACCAATGTATCATTTTAGCCATATAATGCATGAAAGGACATGTCCGTCTGTTGGAACAGGTTGTGGACCTTACCTCAAGTGCCTCTAAACTGACAAAGCTCGCAATGGCAAAGCCATCAATGAGGTCCTCTTCTTCCTCTTCCTCCTCCTCGTCCTCATGACTGCAAGATGATCCAGAAACTCTCTTCCGCCGTCGGAGGGGCCGTCGCCGTCGCCGCTGCTGCTGTAGGGGACGTCCTTTTCTAGGAGCCATAGGTGCAGGTGGAGAGGGGCCTTCACTGTCTGATGCTGAAGATGAGGAAGACAAGCCCCGATGGGAAGGATCTCCAAGACGGCTTCCTCTACGGCGTGCACAGCGACTCTCACGGTCCCGCCGTGAGCAACGTCGCCGTCTCCGTGCTCGGCTACTGCTGCCTCCTCCCCCACTCCAACATGGGGTAGGAGCTGCTGTTGTTCCTTCCATTATGATCCCCTCTGAGGTACAGAAAATAAATTGTGTTGTGTCCAATGGCTGTTGCAGGCACGTGAAAAAGAAGGGAGACACCCTTTACCCCTCACCAGCCAGAAGCATTACAGCTGTCCCTGCTGGCTTTCTGCTCTTCTGTGGAAGCCAGGGAAAAAAGCACCATGCTCATGAAAAAGAGGTTCTCCTTTATATTGCTTTTGAAGGTGGGGGAGTAAATTTTGTATTCCTTTAGAATAGGGCTGCCAAACTCAGGGCCAGATGTGTCACATGCTGGCCACACCCATGCCCGGTTTAGTGAAGGGGGAAAAAGTCACACTATGTCATGTGATGCCGCCGTGACAATTAGAGTTTGACACTCCTGCTTTACAAGAAGTCCTTGGCTCTATAGCTGAACTGTCAGCAACTTTCCTTGATTTACATGTAAACACCCATTCAAAATCCAAAATGTTCCTTTTTGCTCTGGAAAGTCAAGGAAGTAACTTTTGCTCAGGTTTAATTCTCTCTTAAGGAAAATACAAATGGCAACTTCTGCTTTTTTTTTTACTTCAAGGCCAGACTAGTCAATTAAAAAATAATTAAATACTTTTGAAAGAAAATTCTAAGATGGAAACTAATCTAATTTAATAGGAAATCAGCCTGTGCCGGCTAACAGAACTATCTTTTAAGGTACAACTTCACCTTTGGATCCAGAAGAAATCAAACACCAAAAAACCTTGCTTTAATCGGATTTTTACATCCCTCCGATGGTGAATCAGTAATGGAGAGATGGGATCCTTTGAAATCAACAAAACTGACAATCCCTTCCAATCAACTTGTAGTACTTGCCAGTTCGCTGCTTCTCCCCTGAAGCTTCTGATTTAAGTGCCTGTATTTATTTAAATATATATATTGTTTATGTTTATGTGTTTCTAAAAAGCATCATCTAGCCTTATGGAAGGAGGCTTTTTACATTTACCCAGAGAGGGCTAATAAGCGCTTCAAGAGCCTCCCCTTTTAAGACTGTAGATGCGGCTTTTCTGCCAACAATGGGAATGGCTTCCTTCTCAGAGAGCATTGGCTTCCCCCTAGCTTTGAGGACTGAGGGCTCCCAGAATTATTCCCGTGGCGGCATTTCCTTTCGAAGCCACGTTCCCTTTTGAAAATCTTACGCGTTTAAAAAAAAATATTATTAAGATCTCCCGGATTCCTCCTAAAAGGTATGACCTTGCCCTTTAAAAGTCCAGGCTTGAGAATCTGCTTCCTTTCATTCCATCCCCTTTAAGAACGTCCCATTAAAAGTCCGCCACACATTTCCTGTCGAAGCACGGCCTCGCCTTTAAGCACCTTGATTTTTTACATTATTATTTTTAAAGTCCTCCTCGTCAGACAGCCACTTTTTTTCTCCACCATCGGCATTAAAGAGCCTCCAAGCGCTTCCTCGGCTCCGCTCGCGCTCTCCTTTGGGCATCCAGCGTCCAAAGTCCTCCGACGGCCCTTTAAGAGCCGGCCCTCCCTGTTAAGTCCCAATGAAGCCCGAAAACAAATTTCCCCTTTAANGTTCTGCAGTTCGGCTGTTCAAATCTCACCGACTCAGGGTTGACTCAGCCTTCCATCCTTCCGAGGTGGGTAAAATGGGGACCCGGATTGTTGTTTTGGGCAATATGCTGACTCTGTAAACCACTTAGAGAGGGCTGAACGCCCTATGAAGCGGTATATAAGTCTAACTGCTATTGCTATTACTCTCTGCTCTATCTTGCACCAAATAAAATCAATCCGAAATTATTTTGATTTTGTTCTCAGGCTTTTTCCTTTCTTGGATCAATTCCTCTCTTAATGATTCAGTTATCCCTGTTCCTTCCAAACATAAGGTCTAGATTGTTTCATTCTTCCCTTTTTGTTCAAAATACTTATCTTTTCATATTCAGTTCACTGCTTTACTACGTAGTTTTTTTAAACAACACTGAAATATATCTGCCCACAGGTTCCTCATTTCTTTAATTCTATTCAGATGTTACACCGCTTAATCAAAACTTACACTAGTCTCCTTTTTTACATAAACTTTAATTTTATCCAAACCTCCCATTTTTTTAAGCAAAGGTTAATTCGAAAGGTATTTAAAATTTTCATTAAAAATCTATTTGCATCAAAACATTCAATCCACCGTGTCACAGACAGATCTCACTGCCATAACAATGGAACACACAAAACCCCAAACAGAGAAAAAAGTGACACTGAAGCTCAGTGTTAGCAATAAACTAAAAGAAAATTAAGTAAACTTATCACTCCTTGTCATGTTTAAAAGAATCAATCTGATCGTTAATATCTACTTCTCCTCAAAGCAGAAACTCATATATTGATTTTTTTTAATATGCTGAGAATGCAACAGTCCTTCTTATCTCTCCAATGGAGTTGAGAAGCTTAGAGAAGCTTGTTCTGTATTACTCAGAATAAGGACTGCAAAGTAATTAATATAAAGCAAGAACAATGTTCTTTGCTAAAAGAATTTGTCTGCTGAATAATGAATGGAGGTTTAATATACCCTGGAGGACATACAGGTTGTCTTCAACTTACAGGTACAATTGGGAGCAGAATTTCTGTCTTACATTATTGCAATCATAAGTTGAGTCAGAACCAGTTTTATGATAATGGTTTAAACAATTCACCACAGTCTTTAACCAAATCACACTGTCATTTGGCAAATCCAGTCTCCCTAGTGCAGGGGTGTCAAACTTGCACTGTCACATGACATATCAGGACTTTTTTCCCCCTTTCCTAATCCGGGCGGAGCCAGGGCCAAAATGTGACGCATCCGGCCTGCGGCCTGGGAGTTTAACACCCCTGCCCTAGTGGATGTCTTTTGCTGGAAATACACAAAAAAGATAGCAAACAGAGATCATGTGACTGCATTTAGATTGCAACCAGTCCTAAATGAGAGCTAGTTACCAAGCATCAGATTTCAATCACCTGACCATGGAGTGGCTTGATCAGGGGTGGGTTCCTGCCAGTTCTAACCTCTTCTATAGAAGAGATTCTACAAATCTACTGTGCCATTTAGAACCGGTTCCACCTCCCTCCCCCTGCCCATGCGCACCACGTTTGCCCCGCCTGCTGCGTACTGATTGGCTGGCTCACCAATCGCCCCACCCACCTCTAAGAATCCTATCTAAACCTTAAAGTCTTAAAGCTGTCAAGTTTGAACACCCCTGGATTTTTTAATAAGGGTTAGGGGTGCAAGGGTCTTGTAACTTGACAGCTTTAAGACTTGCACACTTCAGTGCCAGAGTTCCTGAGCCAACCTGACTGGAGAAGGAATTCTGGGAGTTGANCTTTTTTTTAAAAAAAGAAGTCCATATCACTCTTTTGGTTTATTCTTTGTATATCTTTTTTTTTTAAAAATTAAGTCAAGATTCAATTGCATTTGAAAATTCAACATATCTCTCTATTTCTTCTAAGCTGTCATTTCTAAAACCACCGTCAATCTGTTTTGATTTTGTTCAATGGAGCTGGTTCCTCTTCAATAACAGTTTTTGATTCCGAAAATTCTCAGCCTAGGAATTGTGATCATAACCAGAACCATCCCAACCAAAAACATTCCTACTTTTCCTACAAATGCTCTGCCATGAACCTAATATTTTATAGGAGGAGACAGCTAGTTAGGAACGACTGTTTTCAAATAATTGGAAGCCAGGAACTCTTCCTGATTCACCACAAATGTCTCTGAGACTTACAACAGAACCTAATCTGATTTCTGCTATGTGCGGAGAGGAATGTAGAATGCCAATTATTATTCTTTATCTCTGACCACAGAATACTTCCAACATATTCTCTATATTACATCTCTTTCTGGCTGGTGTTGAAATTCAAGCCAGGCTGTTCTGTTTCTTTATGGATGTATTCCAGCCTACAGGTATCTCTCTCTGAAGCTACTTGCCATTAATTCAGGAACGATCTCATCAAAGATGTGTTGCTCAAAAGAAGGGAATCTGGACTGGCTGGAAGGATTTAGCGGAACACATCCCTTGGCCCGAGAAAGCTATTCTATAGGAAGAGATTAAAATGCTTTAGGTACTGCACATCTAAAAGGGCCTCCCAAACTTACTCTTCTTCCAGTCTAATGTGTGAAGTCCACGCTGAGAGCTTCCTATCTATCTTCTGACATCCAGGAAAGGGGAAAAAAAAGGAAACTTAAATCACATTAACTGCCGCCAACAGCACCAATGCTTTGGTCAGGGAGGGAGAAAATCTCCCCTTTGAATCATTTAATCCTCTTCATTTTAGGAGAATTTTCTATCTTAGAAAAGAAAGGAAAGAAAACCTCAAAAAAACCAGCACTGGCTTTAATCAGAGCAGTGTGGCTGGAATTGGATAGAGTGGAATGAAACACGAAAAAAGGAGCATCGCTTTTAAAAGAAAGTTTTCTTGAGGCTGGCACTTGCAGGAAAGATAACCTTTGTTTAACTTTATTTTATTTGAGGCTATTTAGAACACAGTGATAGGAAAGCCTAGCCGCAGGGCTCCCTGCTCCATGAAGGAGACAGAAAGTCAAGTTAAAATCTGAGTTGCCGTGGTTTGAGACAGAAGGAAGAGGAAGCAATGAAAGTCCAGATAGTATCAGCCAAACCAGAAAGTGATGTGTTACTTGGAGAACAAAGAAATAAGACCAAAGTACAACTTCTATCTACAAACACACTCTCTCTCTCTCTCTCTCTCTCTCTCTCTCTCTCTCTCTCTCTCTCTCTCTCTCTCTCTC